TGGATTGTCTTGTATTATATGAAACTTTTTTGTTACAAAAATGTTCAATAATTGAGACAAAAAACGCTAAAATAAGTCCAAAACATAAGACAATGAGTCCAACGAGAATGTGATAAAAAGTGATGTTGTTTTGTGATAATTCCTGTCATAAAAATAAATAAAATATTTGAATGAAAATGCATAATGTTTTTAAAACAACATTATTTACTTTAACATCAAGGTATTTGCATTGAGATCTGTCTCTCCACCACCGATCTTTCAACATAGTTATAACTCCTTTATCTTTAAGCATCAATATGGCCAAGTTCACTTTATCCCTACAAATGGACATAGCAATAATAATATTAAAATTTCCAAATAGGCAAAATGTAAGTTTATTCAAGCCAAGAGTATACCTGAGAGGTGATCCACGGGGTAATGCTATACCATATTCAACAATATTCAGATGTTTGCCCACTTTGTATGTATTACAGGGCTGGCGGTCATTGAGATAATCATTGGCCGGCGATTCCATTATGAAGACATACTGTCCATCAGATTCTCGCACTTTCTTAACTCCTTCGCTATAAGTGTCGACCAGAAGGTCATCTCTGGCCTCAATCGTTGCCCACATCCGACTCACCGCTGGATTCTGAGACTCCTTCGACACAATATAAAACCAAAACAATATTATAAACATTTTAGACAATCTGTATTATATGACAACTAATTATTACTTTGAAGAACGTCTGAGTGGATGAGTTCCTCAACAAACCATATTTAATGACATTCTGTTTCGCCAAATCATCAAAAGAACTGATGGGAACCGGCATTTGGTCGTCTAAAATATCATTAAAATATATTATACATTAATGTAAGCGTCAATTAAATGAAATCACATCCAATTGTTGGCTTACAATAAAGAAAACCATCGCTTATAGTCTCATATTTTCCCGTAATATGATATAAAGTGAACTTCATTTTAGTTAAGACTGAATTTGCGGTCAAATTAGACAAATAGGAAGTGACGACAATGAAGACAAAGAGCCACCAAACGGATGATACGATACGACTGGACACTGAATGCGGATAAATGCCGGACACCTGATAGACGAGTACACCGACCGAATAGGACAGACTCGAGCACAAGGAGATGCCTTCGCTTTGATTGGTTTCGGTAACATTTCTGTCGTGCGATAACTTGGAGACCACATAGAAAATTACGGTCACCACAAACACAGCCAACACTATCGCAGCCCAAACTTCTTTACTCAATGGCCTCACAAATGGGAACATATCCTGCGGTCCAGAACTCGGCTTTTTAAACATCATTGTTATATCGCTTGTCATAAACGGATGACTGAAGTCAACGACTGAAGCCCTTTCGTTAGTTATAGTCAACGGTGCGATCGCCTGTCCGTACGAATCATATGAAATGTCAACATTAATTGTTCGCTTAATTGTTTGCGTCAATTGACTGATAGTGCAAACCATATGGACTTCGTGTCGTATGAGTTGGCCAATCATTCCGCTCCAACTGGACTTCCCATCAAACACACCATACTTTGAATCGTTAACTAATTGTATTTTGTATTGCAATTCAAGCGTATCGGCGATCGATGCCATCAGATCGGCGGCGAAGCCCTCGAACCGATCGTTTCCCGAAAGAGAGTTGTCTTTCTTAAGCATAAGAAAGGGTTCCTCCTATGAGACGATCGTAATATAGATAATCAATTTGTCGCTAAAATATCACACATTTCAATGCGACCACTGATTTAATAATATAAATTACGGCATATTTTTGTCATTAATTTAAATAAAATTATTATAATTTGCGCGCAAAGAGTTAAACCCCAATAAAAAATGAATTAAACGCTTCAAATGAAATGACAAAAGTTTTAGTGCCTTTTCTTTTACTTATATTAGAAGAAAATATATGATAAAAGAAATGAATGATTATTTGATTGAATGATGTGATGAATAATGATATTTAATGGTATGATAAGGACTCACCAAAATAGATGTAATGGTATAGACGAGGTTCTGGTTAGAAGGGATCGACCCATCATTTATTCTATGCCTATTGGGTTGCAGTACATTCAGACCAGACATATCAGACCATAAGGCTATCTGTAAAGCCATTTAGCAATATATTTAGTGAGAGAATAAAACCATTTTCTTTAAAACGACAATATATTGTAAAGTATATCCGAAAAGTCTTAAAACAAACAATTATTATATCACTTGTATTTTCTATGTCAACAAATGATAAGAATTTTGAAAACGATTCTTTGCGGTTAAAGAATAGTAAATAACTGAAATGTATAAAATATTTCATCTATTTAAACGTTATTTGTATTAATGTATAGAATAATCAATATTTGCATTCCTTTGTATATTCTTTAACTTTATATCAAAATTTAAAAAAACTAAATTTAGAAATTAATCCAAATATTTGAAAAGTAAAATATTATTGAATGGATTGAAAGAGTGCTTTAAATTAAGACAAGAAGAGATACATCACTATATCTTTGTATAAAAATGTCATCAATTGTTTGATGAATACCTTTTCAAAGTTGCCGTTATTAGTGATCTCAAAGACTTCAATCGTGTAATTCTTTCTGAGTCCTGTGCTGTGGAACTCTATATTACCGGTTATGCCATTCATCGAAGTCTATAAATAGAAATTCTTATTCTGTTATAACTTTTATTCTGAGTAAATGTTTGCAAAAAAATTCTTGGAAGAAATGGCCATTCATTGCGTGGAAAATGATTTGACAGTAAGAGGAAAGAGTAAGAGAGTGAGAGTGAGAGACAGTATACTAACAATTTTCAAATGGCTGGCAATGATTTCGCCAAATTTAAATGGCTTGAGTGTAGGACAGGTCGGATCGATCACTTTGCGAGTGAAATTGACAGTCGAAACGACTGATTCTGTTTCCAACGCTTTCGTTATATTTATCTGCGATTGTATTATCAGATTGAATGCCTGTAACAAAACCCGAGTGCTGTCCAATGCGAGACTCTCTTCCAGCTATTCATCCAAACATAACAATAATAATAAAATGTCAAAAGTCTAGTCTTAACAGCATTTTGCGCTCTAAGCAGTGCATCAGTTGTCGTGCTTTTTTCAGTGGCTCTTCAGCCCTAACGGTGCCATTAAAGTCATGCAATTTCACTCACTGTCGGTGTCTTCTCTTCCTCTATCACCGCATTCGCTGACGACGTCTTCATTTGAATCAATTTTCGCAATTCATTGCGATCTGAAGGCAATGCGAAACTCGTTATATTGACGGCATTGAAAGCCGCCGGAACTTCTTTAGACCACGAGTCGCTCAACACCTATACGTCCCACACATTCAATATATATCACTCATTATAATCTAATTCATTATACGCTAGAGTACATCATGTCGTGCTTTAGGCCAACTTACATGCTATAAATATATGCTATAAATGTATATTTATCTCAAATTGTTTTCTGTATAAACACGTCAAACATTTACTGATATTTAATTTATTTTAGTTTACACTCTATTTTAATAGACAAATAAAAAATTTAATTAAAATTAAAATTTGGGTGAAAAAGAGCTTAACTGAAGCGCAAAACTAAATGTCAATGTAATGCAAAAATTGCTTTTAACTCAATGTTTGTGTCAAATGTATGGATAAATGTCAGAATTTTCAGATAAAATTCTTTCACTTTAATAAACGACACATAGTTTTAAACCGTCTAACCATTGAATTCTCTTGAGATTAATTTGTTTTATATCTAATTGAGTGTCAAATGAAATGGAAATGCAATGAAATACTTACCAAATTAGTCAATAAGTAGTGAAATGTGTGCCTTTCCATAGCCGTGTCCTGAATGTGATACGCGATCAATGCTTTGGAAATATGAAGTCTACAGTTAAGCACAACATATTTCATGACATCCCTGTCCTCCCTGTCCACTGTCTTAAGCAGATTATAGCCTTCGGCGGCGTTAGAGATGCGCCTAACGATTGACAGCTGAATCCTATGATCGCTTCTATGCGAGTGTTTTAACAATTCTTGTAATTCAAAAATGCCTGCATTTTTGACGAATACACACAATATATTGATTAGCATTACAGACATATTAATGATTTAGTCATTACTCGCCGTAATCAGAGTCATAGATATAGATTAATTTGATCCAATGATACCATTTAAGTACACTTATTATTGCCGGCCAATGGTTTGGCTCTAAGTTAATGCCATAAAACTCGAGCTTTTCTTTCGTCTCATCCCTGGTATGACTGAAATGAGTCTTTTCGTGATGAGGAAAGAGGGGAGAACTGCCCACAAGAGGCACCTATACGTCCAAAAGCATATATAATTGACAAATTATTATCTAATTCAAAACACACTACTGTTTTTCACTGTAATCTAATTTATTGTATTTAATCTAATATTAGTCTTACTTAACAATAGACAAAAACTGACACTAATTCCACTTTCTTTTAACATTTATCTCTCAAAATGTTATATTATTTCTAACATAAACCCCGGGAAGAAAATATAATAAATTAAAATCAATGGGAATAAAAACTACAACTTTATTGCCATAAACTGCTTTTCCAGAAGTTATGGCCTCTTGTTTACGAATATTTAAGCGAATAATTTGACAAAAAAGTACTTAATAGTCAATGAATGCAGATTTAAATGATTAGATATGGAGATGAAGGGAGAGGAAGAGAGAGAGAGAGAGAGAGAGAGAGAGAGAGAGAGTCAATGTTTTTGAAATGCTCTCAATTATGCAAAAATATGATAAATAATTGCATTCAACACAATATAATGATTAGTAATCCCTTTGAATCCACTCTTTCTCATCTTTCCCTCTCATTCCCTCTTCAATACGACTCTCCCTTTCCGTCAGTACAGCAAATGTGGGCCAAAATTAATGAAATGAAGAGTGAATTGAAGCCGAATTTTTCCTCCGAAGGCATTTCTCTCGTGTTTAGGTCTCGACTCATAATTCAATAGTACTTTACATATGATTTGTTAACTCACTGTAAAAATACTAATTTCTTTTTGAGTTTTTTCCTTTTCATACATAAAGTTTTATACTTTTTTCGTACGACTTCTCACTCTTTCATTGATTTAATTTCTTTCCTTTTCATTCGCTTTTCACTCAACAAATATTAAGCGAAAACATCTGCACATTAGATACAGAATAATATTTGATAATTTATTTTATGCCATATAAAAAACATTGTGATCTATTGTTTGACGTATAAATATATTAATTTAATGTCTCTCCGACCCATACTTAATATATTTGATGCCAAAAACCTAACGCTAATTATGTTGAATAAAAGTTAAAATTAATTTTTTTTGGTGTTTAGGTTGTTATGAAAATTTAATGTGTTTTAAGTCCGATGTTTCCTACCATACAATCGCTGGCATCCCTTCCTTTAATCTCCAATTGTATACATTTTAATCAATTTCTGCACAACAATAGCACTGCTAATGCTTTTGAATTATTAATTCGTAAACAAAGGGCCAAATTATATACCAGTTGTCGACACTATCTGTAAGCCTGTGTTTATGTGATGAGAATTGACTAACAATTCTCTCTAAAAGCTTTTCAATTATTGGATTCAATTTCAAAGCGATGTAATAATAGTGTATAATATTATGCATAATGTGTTTAATACCCGATAAGTATTAGCGAAGGAAAGGGCAGACTTGTAAGCATAGGCCTCGAAATGTGGTGCGAGAAAGGCATATATGCCTCGATTGAAATGAAGGCATTGCACTGAAAAGATATGCAAATTATTAGTAAACTATGCAAAAGCCGGTGATTCATAATATCGATAGCCATCCAGAAAGTGATGTCTTTCTGACAGCTGTCTCTCTACCACTCAATATAATATAACTGCTCTCAGCATTCATCCCATCTCTCATTCATAAACACACTCAACACATATCTATTCCCTCTCCTCCCGTCCCTTCTCCTCATGTATTCATTCATTCATGTATTCTCTCCACTCAATATGTTATGTAATTAAATAATTATTAGTTCCCAAAACCATTGGTTAACTCTCTCTCTCTCTCTCCGCTGTCTCACGCATACGTCTTGGCTGTAATGCCTCTCTCACTCTTCCCTCTCCTCCCGTCCCTTCTCCTCATGTATTCATTCATTCATGTATTCTCTCCACTCAATAGCCACTAAACAAGTGATGCATTTGTGATGTAATGGCAATGTATGGCATACACTGTCGGACAACACGCGTCGGGTCGTTATGATCAACAAATTCCTGTGCCGTCTCCACAATGAACTTCAACGATGCGTTTGAGTTGTGCTGATGTATGGCTTGTTTGAAGATTGTCTGCAGATTCTGGTGCTTGTGATCGAAGAGTGCGCCTAAACATCACATAAACACAACTGTTATATTATATCACACATTGAATGCTAAAAATAAAAATATATTACAATAGCCTAACGGTGTATACAATGTTTGGTTGAATATTTTTGAATAGAATTTATCAATCATTAAAATGTATGCTTTTTCTGATATAAAAATAGCTTTTAGTGATAAAAATAGGATTCTCTCAACAATTCTCTTTATTTGTAAAATTTTATTCATAAAAATATATTCAATGTTTTCATCCATATTATTGATACAACCAAAAGAAGCCCATTATTAGATGAGAATTGATTGTCGACTCTGTTTTGTATGTCTGTCCCCACTATCTATTGTTGTTGCTATGGTTGGGTCTCTCATTCATTCTAACGGTACCATCAGGTGATGCCATCCATAAAAGGACGACCACATGAATGGCCATTAGGGGAGTTGTAATCGAGGCTATCGACAGACCCGACACACAACACATACAGATATACACACTTAGAGTCCAAATCCTAATGGGATTTTGTTTTAGATAACAACTTTTTACACACACATAACCATTCACTCACTCACTACCCATTTCTGCCATCACTTCTGCCATCAACGGAGTAACAGATCATAAATTTTTTGACGGAAGAATCCCCTAATGTTTAACTAATTCATTAAGTGTTCGTTAATTTTGGGCTTAAAAAAGTAATTTATTACCAAAAAAGTTATTTTGACAAAAAATAAATTCTAAACTCAATGAACGCATTGAACCAAAACTTATGCCAACAAAACACTAGAGAGAGATTTAACCATTGGTTTTGGGAACTAATAATTATTTAATTACATAACGCATGCAAACATCGATGCATTTACAATACATGTCATATAGTTTTGTCTAAATATTCAATATTTGTTTCCGAGGGCTACTAAATAATGCATAAAATATATTTTATATTGTTGTTGTATACCATTTACACAGCAATTAAATGTCAAAAAAAGCTAAACTTCAAAAAAGACTTATTAATATTTTTCGTGATTGTTTGGTATATATTTTGTTAGGACTGCAATGTAATGATAAGTTGCCAATAATGTTGACCAGGATTTTCAAGACCACTCTCCAGTGGCTGATGGGAAACAAGTGAATGCAATCAATATGTGTTACTCTGGGATCTGTTGGTCGATATAAGAGAGTAGTGCAGTCGACTATATGAACTGAAAAGCCCTCTCATGTTAAATAAGGGTCCGTTATATTGAAGATGAAAAATGGTATTGAATATGCTGTAAGGCTTACTTGTTAGACCCGTCTCTCCTCCAGTCTCTCATATGTGTACGAGATATAAATATAACGATATATTGTTTAGTACGGAGTATTGGTTTATAAATATTGGATAAGTATTAAATGAAAATGTGTTTAACACGAGTGAAATTCAATTTTTTGCAATAATTGAATCGCTTGTCATTTGCAATGTTTGCAAATTTAGATTTATTTATACTTATACTGAGCTCTAATAGAAATTTATAGGAATCAATAGTTGTGTACATTAAATAAATACCTATTTTTCTATCAATATATCGTATAAGACCTCCAATCGTTTCGCTATAAGAAGTATTGTTTGTATTTTATATATAAGACAAGCGAATAAAGGAAAATAAAATTAACATTTAATGAGCGAAAAGTGTTTCAGAGAATAGACTTCGTTTGGAGAGTGAAAGTCAAGGCATTATATCCACAGAATGTCTGCATTTAAACATTAACTTATGTTTTCACGGATTTCTTTAGAGTCAAAGCTAATGCCAATTGAAGCTTAACGTCGGCTTCGGATGTGTTTATTGATGTGATTGTAGGGCTCAGTCATTGAGTGCATTGAGAAAGGCATACAAAAAATACAATAAATCAAATAATACTATGAATTGGAGCTCTAGTTATAGACAGACTGTACATTGTTTGCAGTAAATACACACACACGACGGCCGGCCAATCAATTGACTAAATCTTTTGGTCACTTCATCTAATTATACAGATTTTGTCCATATATTTATTAATGGTATGAATGGTATAAAACTAGACGTCGGAGACATTGTAAATGTCTGCAAATGTGAGCAACGATTACGAGAGACATAATATTTTTGTCGCAAATAAAGAATTGCATTCATTGCTAATGCATTCAAAACGCTGTAATGTTTGCATGTATTCAAGCAGTCATTTCAATAACGACTGCATATAATAGTAATATATTCTTTGCGCACATCATAAATAAAATGCAAAATTTTGGGATCATTTTCCTCTCCATTCCGTCTATCCTTAGGAATAATATTAATATTAGATATATTTTCTCTCTCTTTTCGCTCAACAATTCAAAACAAAAAATTCCCTAATATTTCACTTTAATATAATATATTGTACTTTACACTGTATTGTATGTCTAATTAAAATGCCCTTTGAGTATATTTTCTGTTTGATTCAGTCATTGAATGCTTAATATATAGAAAAATAATATTCATTAAAATACACTCAACATTAAGCGATGAATTGCTTTTGGAATAAATATTACAATTCGGTTATTATTGGGAAAATGAAAAAAGGAAATAATGTTCAATAAAAGTGGAGCCGAAATGTGGTTTAGGGTTAGTGTTGACACAAGTGATTAGGAGAGAGTGCGCTCGAGTGGCTATTCCTCCAGTTTAGCCGAAGCGGTGTCTTAAATATAAATTAAACACTGACTTTGCAAATGCATTGATTTTGTTACCGTCAAACAGTACAGCAAGTTATATGTGTTTGTATGCGGTATCGTAAGTATCAATAAAACGATATCTGGGAATACAATCTGTACAAAAAATATGTTGAATAACGGGGTTTCCGAATAATGATTTAAAATATCCAATATTTATTCAACAAATAAATTCATTTCGTTACACACATCGCAAGTCAGTGTTGAATGTATAAGATATAATAAACCGCAGAAATTCCTATTCAAATATTCACAATAATAGCAAAGAATAGCAGAGAATAGTAAAGAATATACGAGAATAGAGAGAGAGAGAGAGAGAGAGTCAATGTTTTTGAAATGCTCTCAATTATGCAAAAATATGATAAATAATTGCATTCAACACAATATAATGATTAGTAATCCCTTTGAATCCACTCTTGTGGTCTCTTCGCAAAATTGTGCCCAAAATTTAGCTCCAAATTGGGCTCAAATTGCAGTGTTTTGTGTGCAGACACTGAAAATGCACACAAAATACTTATGATATTATGTATTGGCTGTCAGAGCGATGAACGCTACCGACGAATAAGCCATCATAGGGTCAGCCAGAGGTCAGCCGTATGTCTTACTACTGGGCCCTCAACTGGGTATTAAGCGCTCGGCTCTGGTGGCGGCCCTAACTTCGCTGTATCCACAGTATGTGTGGTGTTATATCTGTTATGTATCTATAGATCTAACATAAAATTCATGCAACACTAGGGAGAGAGAGAGAGAGAGAGAGAGAGAGAGAGAGAGCAAAGTATGAATGGTATGGAGAGAGACATGACTCCCCCGAGCAAACTATTGACAAACATTTGTGAGCAGTTGTTTTAGAGCAGAGAGAGAGAGAGAGAGAGAGAGATGGGAGTGTAGGGAAGGGAGAGGGGGAGAGAGATATTATGGGCAAAAATCGATATTTCTGGTGACGTAATGTACGCCAAATCACTAGACCTTTGATAGTATAGCGTATAGCGAGTGGAGAGCTATAGTAAAGTGAATGCAATATGCAATGCATTGTAAGAACGGCAACAAAACTATATCCAAATTAAAGCAGAAGTGCATCACATCGTAGTCCACACAATCTGCGAGACACGAGAATTGCATTTTATGTTTGCATTCAAATGCATTGATATTACAGTCAATACTCGACTTTATATTTGTTGCCGGCATTTGTTGCCAATAAGACGATTCTCTGGTAATCGTTTAGTGATGGACTAACGCGAAGAATATTCTCCAACAGTATATATAAGTATAAAATTGTGAAGAATTGAAAGCCTGAAAATGGGTGCGGATGTGAAGCTTCGCCATCGAAGTCATAGACTGATGGCTGAAATAGTGATCATTTTATGGCAATTAATGGCAATCAATGGTTACAGCGCTGACTTGCATTCAGTGCCGGAGCGCATCCCAATCGGTGAGTGACACAATCGGAGCGTAATTATCATTAATTTTAATAATTGTCGAATCGATAATAATTGGCTCAACGGCTGCACAGCTGTCTGTCAGAGGAGTTTAGTTATGGCATAAGAAGAGCCAAAAAGAGTTACCACTAATTAAAAACTCATCAGTTTGTAAGCCCTGTGCCGTTGAAATTAGTTGGGCGTAGACCTAAACACTGGTTAAGTACTTATTTTGATCGTTACAAACAACACCTCAACGCTTTTCTCAACGCTTTTAACGTTACTGTATTGTAGTTGTATTGTAGTCACTATGGGTTTAGTCACTAATTTAGCCAAACCTTCCATGTTTTCGCTTCTCGTGTCTGTCTTTATTCTCATACTATTCTTCGTCACTCTTCTTATTCTTATTCACATCTCTCTCTCTCTCTCTCTCTCTCTCATCTTCTTCTCTCTTTCACGAAATCCTCTTCAATCTTGAGTTGTATTCTTCACTCTAGGAGTCAATGTCTGATTTGTCTGAACCCATCTTTATTCACTCAGACTGTGGTTTTTCAAGAGATTTATTAATAATAATATTAATTTCATGAAAAAATTATGAATAAAAAATGCATAAAACTTGTGGAGTTATTCTTAGAAATTTTTATACTTTATTATGAAATAAATAAAATTCTTCGTCAAAATGCATAACAACTATAGAAATGAAATGAATTGAAGAATTGGTTAAACAAATTGATTTTGAGCGACAAGAATGTGTGAATCACTAGTCGGTTGTAAATGCATTCACAACACAATTGACAACCATTTCATAGGAATAGATGTGAACAGTAATTCTCCTCCCTTTCCCATTATATAACGCTCTGAACTTATGTCGCGAAACAAC